GGTGATGATTATTATTTTTTTTTAAATGAAAAAATTTCAGGGATCAGTGATTTAAAGATTCCTTTTAAATCCATACCTCTTTTATGGAGTTTATCTGTTTACTTGGTGTCCTGATTGTTTTATCTACATGTGTTATCTCCGATGTTAGAGTGTAAACACCTTGAAGGCAAGATTGGTGTCTATTTACTTCTTGTACCATCATCTAATGAGAGAAAGCACTTGGGGATGCACAGGATTCAGGACTCAGAAGGCCTGGGCCCTCGTCCTGAGCCTGCTGTTCCCCAGCCTGTGTGATCACAAGGCTATCTGGGCCTCAGTTTTCCTCATCTGCAGAGTGAGGAAACAGGACTAGATGATCCCCAAGGTTACTCCCTTCCTAAAATTATGACTGTATGGATTGGAAGTGCTGGAGTTATTTTCAGTGTTTATCATTAATTTTTCTCTGTTCCTACATCTCAAAAATGAATCACTTACATTTCTCCAGTTTGGTAGAGTGTATTGGTTTTACCTCTATGATAAATCTAAAAGAATCCTGAATGAGAAGTTACTGCAAATCACTAATCTAACCATTAAGTGCTCAGTTCCTTAGGGGAACTATTCTTCAATCAGCCAGAATGGCTTAATTTATTTTCCTTTAAATTAAAAGACTTGCAAAAATTGAACAAGCGAGAGGGTCCCAGAAAAGGTGAGATATATAGCTATGGTCTGCAGTCCTGTGCCCAAAATACATGTGGCATGTGGACAGGTATGTGTGTCTGTGGCTGAGGTTGGTTGGAGGGTGCACTTTAGTTTATGTGAATAAAGTCTTATTAAAATTAACATTCAGGGAGGCAGAAAAGGCAGAGAAGGTAGAGGATTGACTTCTAATGTAGAAGGATTTGGGAAGGGAGTGAGGAGTCCCATTTATACACTGGCCCTGCATGTCATTTATTCTACCATTTCCTTGTTGAGTGCTTACTATATACTGGACATCATTCAGGGTGCTGTTATTTGCTAGTTCTATTGTACAGTATAGATGCTGCCTCCTCTTCTTCCCCATCTCCCTGGTGGCTGAGTCTCTGGAAGCACTAGATAGGTATTTTTAAAGCACTTGGCCTCTAGGTACTGTTTATCATGCTTGGGGTCCCGCCCACCTGCCCCCAGGAAAGACTTTGCTAGCCTTGGAGAGCCAACACAAAGCTACGTAATCATACACCCAGCCACGCTTTAAAGAACTGTTCTCCTCACCCTCAGAAATAGGGAATTTTTGTTTTCAAGCAAAAAATGTTGCCATGAATTGGGTACTTTTTGTTCTCATGATTCCCTTCCTTTACATTTTCAATCCTTTCAGTAAATATCAATTTATGAATCTGTATTGTATGTTAAGCACAGGCTGGACATAAGAGATGTAATAAATGGTAAGCAACCTTATTAGCTTTCTGTTGCTTCTATCACAAATTTGGCATATGAAACAACAAAAATGTAATCTATTAAAGTTCTGGAGGTCAAAAGTTCTAAATCTGTTTCACTGTTTCAGGGAGTTAAAATCAGGGAGTCAGCAGGACTAGTTCCCTCTAGAGCAGCGGTTCTCAACCTGTGGGTCGAGACCCCTTTGGGGGTCGAACGACCCTTTCACAGGGGTCGCCTAAGACCATCGGAAAACACATATATAATTACATATTGTTTTTGTGATTAATCACTATGCTTTAATTATGTTCAATTTGTAACAATGAAAATACACCCTGCATATCAGATATTTACATTACGATTCATAACAGTAGCAAAATTAGTTATGAAATAGCAACGAAAATAATTTTATGGTTGGGGGTCACCACAACATGAGGAACTGTATTAAAGGGTCGCAGCATTAGGAGGGTTGAGAACCACTGCTCTAGAGGCTCTAGGAGGGAGTCTGCTTCCTGATTTTCCCAGCTTTAGAGTCACCTGTATTCTTGCCTTGTGGCCCTTTCTCCGTCTTCAAAGCCAGCAACATAGCATCTTCAACTCTCTTTCTCTCTCTGCTTCCATAGTCATATCACCTCTGTGTCTTTGACCCTCCTGCCCACCTCTTATGAGGATCCTTGTTATTACATTGAGCCCACCAGGATAATCCAGAATAATCTCCCCATCTCACAGTCCTTAACTTAATCACACCTGCAAAACGCACTTTGCCATCTGAAATAACATAGTCCCAGGCTCCGGAGGTTAGGATGTGGACATCTTGGGGTGGACAAGAGACCTTTTGCAGCCCATTGCAACCAAGTATGCAGCATCTCTCATCTCAACATGCCTAGCTTCCAGTTGTCTGGCAAGGAAAAAATGGGGTAAGTTTTTTGTTGTTGTTGTTTTGTTTTCATTTGCTTGCTTGCCTGCTTGTTTGTTTTTGATGCTTTATTCTAGCCATATAGTTTGGGTAGAAATAAAGTTATAAAATATAATATGGGAGGAAATGCCTGTTCAATTCGCATTGTGTCAAGGTGAAAAATAAATCTTCCCTCCTATAAAACTCTACCTTGAAAACAGGACATTAACTCTACCATCAAACATGTTAGGCTATCTATCTAAACTGTGGCATTATCCATATTTCAGTATGAGAAGATCAGAACCTTTATTTGCAAAGGCAAGAACTAAGCCTTCTCTGTCCTTCGCCTGTGAGAAACTTCAGTCAACAAGCCTTCATTCCGCAGCTTCTTTGATGAAAATGATAGACAGTCTCAATCCCAACTGTCCAAGGAGGCAGCTTGTGTGGGAGAGGAAGGACAGCCACGCGGCTGGGAAGGTTGGGGTCTCCTGGTAGAATTCATGCTCTTGTTGAGATTGTAATTGTCCCTCAAGTTCTTTGTAGTTTTGAAGTTCCAACATGAAAACTGATGCCCTAGGATATCTGAAGCATGAATTATAACATCAGGCAACTAAGAGAACCAACTTGGAGAGGGAGGAATCTGGCACAAACAGCAAGAAATATAATATCAGAGGCAAAAACTAAAAGAGACAAAGTGGCTAACACAGGGCCTGAGAGGCAGATACAATGAGAGTCTTCATTGCAAGTTACCAAAAAAGGACTCTCCTAACAAACCCAGAGGCCTCAGAGGGTTACCATGGGGCAGCTTCTGCCTCTACCACCTCCTGGGAGGAACGTGGCTGTGGGCAGGCTACTGAATCTTTCCAAGATTCCTCTGTAAAATGGAGATGATAGTCCAGTAGCCCCCAATCCATGGCTTTGTTTTCCCAGGTTTCAGTTACCTGAGGTCAACAGCAGTCCAGAAATATTAAATGAAAAAATTCCAGAAATAAACAATATGCTGTTCTGAGTTGTGTGATGAACTCTCGGCCATTTAGCTTCGTTCTGGGATGTGAATCACCCCTTTGTCTGGCATATCTACACTGTAGACACTACCTGCCCATTAGTCACTTAGTAGCCCTCTTGGTTATCAGATCAATTGTCGTAGCGTCGAAGTGCCTTTTTTCAAGTCGCCTTTATTTTACTTCATAATGACCTCCAAGTGTGAGAGCTAGTGATACTGACAATTCAGATATGCCAAAGAGAAGCTATGAAGTGCTACCTTCAAGTGAGAAGATGAGTATGCATAGGATAAAACATTATGTGTATATGTGTGTATATATATATATATATATATTCTTCTCATCTTTCCCCTGTATCATCCTTTGAAAATATGAATAAGAAGTAGAGTTGAAATAAATTAATCACTATACACACACACACACATACACACACACACACACACACACACACACACATATATATGAAATCGCTTGGTACTACCCACAATTCCAAGTGTGTGGGTCCAAGTGCCACTGCCTCAGTACCTGGCTGGTCAGTGTGTAATCCATGACAGTCATTTTGTGACGGGATGAGGGTGGCAGCCCGCCTCCCCTTTGAAACAGCTGTTGACTGTCGCTTAGGCCAAACAGAAGGTGCTGTCTTGTCAGATACACCTCTGATTTGCTTCACGTCCTGGGCATGCTCAAATGCACACGCACACACTCTCCCGGAGGATGACCCTGGATCCAGGATTCACACAGGGCAGCCAATTTCCCAAGCAACTCAAACACTCTAACAGGGGTTTGGGCTTCGCCTGATCCGTTGGGATTTGTCTGCAGGCTCACAGGTCATTTCCCCTGGGAAGCTAAAAAAAATTCACTTTCAAAGTGGTTCATAACCTGTCGAAATGAAAGCCCTCCGTGTAGCATCTCAGGTAAGGAAATCCAGCATCACTCAGCTCATGCTTACCGGCCGACCTCTGGTGATTACGAAGTGAACCCTGTTGTTGGAAACCTGGGTGAACATCATAGCCTGTCATCACTTTTATTGGCAGGTGTCATGGCTCAGTCGGCAGGAGAGCAGCTGGGAGAGCACTGCTGGGCTCGTCAGACATGGAGACAGTGGAGAGAAGGAGAGCGAGAGGCAGCATAGAGAATTTAGGTTTTTCTAAAAACCGAACCATTTGTGTGGTGGGAAGTAATTAAAACTTATAGCCATGTAGTTTGTGTTCCATGTTAAGTGTTTCAAAAACGGTTAAATGTGTTCTGTACACTCAGTGAAAATGGGATTCTCTGGCAGGTAATTGAGTGGAGGGGGAAAAAACATGGGAGGGATTAGTTTTCTAGAAGGAAAATGAAAATGAGAAAAAAAAAATAATGTCATTTCTGCTTGTCTTCTCCTTTGGGGATTTTGAGAGGCTTTATCTCGGCTTTTCTGGAAGGACACATATGCAAATCAGAGAATCCTGGAATTTCAAGATTAGCAGGGAAATTTGCAGGAGCCAGAGTGAACTCCCATCTGCTCCCAGGACCCTCCGCCAGCATCCAGCCTGTGCACAACCCTGCAGGAGAGGGTACTTACTTCCTCATTTCTTTTCAAGGCAGCCCATTCTATTTTTGAGACAATCTGTTTTTTAGAAAGTTCTCTCCACTAAGCAGGAAATCTATCTTCGTACAATCTCTACCTATTGGCCCTAGTTATACCTCTCCTACACTATTAATTATCTTTACTAATTTGACGATCTGAAAGGGTGGAGCTAAGATGGGCAAAGTAACTTGTGCATGGTTTTATAGTTACACATGGCAGAGCAAGGATTAAACCCACGTCTGCCTCATTGCGACTCTCCTGTTCTCTCCATGTGTCTCCCAGCCTTTTATTCTAGGGAGGAGAAAGGCAGCCTGCAATCGTGCACAGGAAACACGTAATAACGACCTAGCAAGCACTGAGCTCAGAGGAGGGAGGGACGGATTGGTGAGTGGATTGATAGAGCCCGGCCAAAGGACCCCCTCTCTGATCAGGGCTACACATTCTTAACCCCTGGCCGAGTGGTTATCTTCATGTAGCTTGCAATCAGCTATTAACAGCTCTCCACCTGGTGACAAGCTTAATGGGCCAGGAAATTCTAGCCCTCAGGACTCAAGCCTGATATTTATGGTTCCCCACATACACCTAAAGTGGATTATAAATTTATCTCCCTCAGATTTAGGGGACTGAAATGATTGTTTGAGACTCTGGAAGGGATGGACAACTTTATGGACATGTTATACCAACTTTTTAAAAGATTCAGGTGATCTCTGGCCAGTTTGGCTCAGTGGATAGAGCATTGGCCTGCAGACCAAAGGGTCCTGGGTTCAATTTCAGTCAAGGGCACATACCTTGGTTGCAGGCTCCTCTCCGGCCCAGGCCCTGGTCAGGGCTCATGCAGAAGGCAACCAATCAATGTGTTTCTTTCACTTTGATGTTTCTCTCTATCTTTCCCTCTCTCTTACACTCTCCCTAAAAGTCAATGGAAAAATATCCTTGGGTGAGGATTAACAACAACAACAACAAAAAGATTTGGGTGGGAGGAAGGTACAGAAAGCTGCTGCTCCCAGAAGCCTCCTGGGACTTCCTGTGTACTTGAGGGTATTGGTGTTATGGGGTGAGAGGGGTAAGGGAGGGGTACACAGCAATTTTGTACCATAGAAAAGTTGCATATTTTTATAACCAAAACCTACCTACAATAATAAAAAGGTAATATGCTAATTAGACCAGACAGCCAAACGACCTTCCAGATGTCCTTCTGAATGACCTTCCATATGAAGCCGGGGCTGCAAAGGTCGAGGGCAGCTGCCACAGCTTCGAGGGCCGAGCCCCTTGCACAAAATTTGTGCACGGGAAGGGGGGTCCCCTCAGCCCAGCCCACACCCTCTCCAATCCAGGACCCCTTGGGGGATGTCCGACTGCCGGTTTAGGCCCAATCCTGGCCTAAACTGGCAGTCGTACATCCCTCTCACAATCCTGGACTGCTGGCTCCAAATCACTCACCTGCCTGCCTGCCCAGTCACCCCTAACTGCCCACCCCTGCCGGCCTGATTGCCCCTCACTGCCTCTGCATGCCCTCTCCCTGCAGGCCTGGTTGCTCCTAACTGCCACCCCTGCCAGTCTGGTCACCCCTTACTGCCCCCCTTGCTGGCATGGTCACCCCCAACTGCCCCCATCTGCTGGCCTGGTCACCCCTAAGTGCCCTCCCTGCCAGCCTGGTTGCCCTTCACCCCTCCCCCCCTCCACCGGCCTGGTCACCCCACACAGCCTGCTTGTTCAGTCATTTGGTTGTCCCTCACTAACCCCCCTGCCAGCCTGGTCATAGGCAGCCATCTTGTGAGGGTGTTAATTTGCATATTACCTCTTTAGGCTGTTTCTTGGGAAGTTATTCAGCCCAGGTAGGAAGCTTCTTCTAAGCTCCTGAGTAAGCTGAGTGGATGTTGACTCGCCAGACATTTATGTAGTGGGAGATACTAAGTAGGAACACCTGGCTTGCGGGAGACTTGTTCTTACTGACACCTCCAGAGGTGAGCAGCTGTGGCGTTTGGGTGAGTTGGGTGTGTGCATCCTTCAGACAGGACACTCTGGAGAGCGCAGCTTTCTCATTTCTTGCTTCTCCACTGGGAACTTGTACCATATGTGGGATATAACTTAACTTTCATCAGCAAGTTCCAACATGCAGATGTTTAAAGGAAACTGCTGTATACTTCCAGGAAAAGATGGGAACAGAGTAACAATGACCAAAATGGTAGTATTTCCGGCCTCACACTCACTCCCCAGTCAGAGCTCTTTAGTATTCTCCAGAAGTTTCTCTCTCTACCCACCAATGAGAATAAGAAAGGAATTAGTTAGGAGCAGATGTGACATGCTGGAAAGAGCTCAGGCACTAAGGCAGGAAGAACCAAGTTTGCATCTTAGCTTTTCTCCATGTTTGTTGTGTAACTTTGGAATTCATCACCAAGCCCCAATTTTCTGATACATCAAATGGGGGGAAAACACCAACCAGAACATTGTTCTGAGCATGAATGACACTAAGAATGAAAAGTAAAGGCTTTGTAAAACGGGAATATTGCCCAGATGGTGTCGCTCAGTGGTTGAGCGTCAACCTATGAGCCAGGAGGTCACGGTTCGATTCCAGGTCAGGGCACATGCTAGAATTGTGGGCTTGATCCCCAGTGTGGGGCATGCAGGAGGCAGCTGATCAGTGATCCTCTCTCATCATTGATGTTTCTATCTCTCTCTCCCTCTCCCCTCCTCTCTGATATCAATAAAATATATATATTTTTAAAAACAAGAATATTGTTTGCAAGGGGTTGGCATAACTCCTCCTTTATTCTGGAAGATAATTTGCTTAAAAATTCAACTGTGTACCAAATCGTCCTCCCAGGGACCAGCAGAAAGTGGCAAGCTCCCTCTGAGTGGAAGCCTTCACTGGGGCTCCCCAAATAGGCTCTCTGATCTCCAGGTTTCACCCCACAAACAGAGGCATTCTCCTCATAGGCATGTTCACGCTTCGAGAAAGCTCCCTCGGCCTCTCCCTGTGGAATTGCCATCTCCCGTGTTTGAGCTCTCCTCCCCTCAAGGACAGAGCGGGTGGTTTGCAAGCACATTCAGATCTGAGAGCTTCCCCACCCCCAGCGGGGGTGGGAATTCCAGGCCTCCTTTTGCGAAGGTACTTTGCGAGGAACCTGAAGTTGGAATGCCCTCCTGAGGTCGATGTATAAAAGCCAGCAGCACAAATAGGAAGTGAGGCTGAAGTAAGCATAAATGTTCTTGAATAACTTCAATAGAGGAACGCTTGTTTGATCCTCTTTAAGCTTCCTGAAACCGAGCTGAATGTTTGTTTGTTTTGTGGCAGCTCCACTTTTTTTTTCAGGCCTTGTCCTGCATGGCTGTTGGTTTCTCAGCTTAAAAGGAAAGTGCTTTTTCTCAGTAATGCTGCTCGTGTTCTGAGCCCGGCGATACCCACTTCTAAGGGCCATTTCATCCTAAAGATAACGTTCTGCTAACTCTGAGGACCCAACAGATCAAGGATGTGGCCAGGTACCATGACTCGTGCTTCCCTCCCCTCCCCGAGTCATTTGGCACTCACACCTACAAGTGTGTGAACAGAAAGTTTCTCGGTTTATTTTCACATGGAAGATTTGATCCCACCAGGGGGAAATGTCAACAGACATGACAATGCAAAAGTGACAAAATAGCCTTTTAACCTTTCCATTGCCAAAGAAACAAAGGCCAAGTTCAGGTGAGTTTGCTATTCCATTGTTTCTCGAGGTGCTATTGGTCATTAGCACTGTTGTTTGTTGTTTTAATATTCGGGAAACTTCAGTTCCATGGACCAGAACAACTGCTGGAGAAAACACTTGGGGATGGTTTGCAGAAGACAGCGGTGGAGGTGAGCCCTTCCTCTTGGCCTCCTTTCTGTAGATGTGTATCAAACACCATAAAACTGGCATATGATGTCGAGCTAACTGACAGCTCCTAAGACAGAATGTTCTGCAGATGGAAGAGCCAAGAAGTGGCATGTCGGGGCTGAGGTGCTTAGCAGCGTTTCCAGAGACATATTGAGTGTTTTCCTGTACCTTGTCTCCCAAACGCTAATGTCCCCAGGTTTCATGTGTCTCGGGGCCCCTCCAAGTGTGGGAGACAGCACTTATGGCCATGACAGATGGCCAGATCTCTCTGTGGCCTGTGAGCCCAGGGAAAATTTGCCATGTGTCAGATGCAAGCATCTTATCTGCCATGGATTTCATTTTTTCCTGGAAGCAACTGGAAACCGACTTAGTGACACTTAAGTCCTTCACCTGCTGCGTTACTGTAGCCAGTGGGTGTGAGCCAGCGTGGGACCATGAAGAGCCCTCATTTGAACAGCCGCAAGAGTTATGGGCTCTGACTTGGAATGGAATGTTAGACTATGTTCAGAGTCATGGCAACTTGAACTTGGCAGCCCTGTCTGCTTCTGAGGTTACCAGTGCCTCGAGGCCAAGTGCACCTGTGACAAGAGTTGACCTCGGAGTGGGATGCAGATTGAGAAACCTCTTTTAGAGCGAACGATTCATCGGAACTCCTTTAACAGCTGGATGGTTCAGTAGCAGTTTAAGTGCTGGAATTACCTGGCACTCTTCCCATCCGCCGTATAGTGAACAAAGGATACATATGGAATCACTAAAAGCTTCCCTCCCCCGCCAAACAAAGAAAAGGATGCTTAGAATTAAAAGGATGTTCCCATAGTGTCTTTAGTTTCCATCATCAAAGTAAATAAAATTAACTGTAGTTGAAACTGAGGCCCCCTCCATGAGGTATAATAAGTTCTCTTTGCAGAGGGGCTATTTTTTAGAGGGTTATTAAGACCACATTTCATGATAGGCATGTTTGAACATATTTGTCCTTCTCAGAACAGGCTACATTCGCTTTCTTGGGTTATGATTAGCTGGTTTCTGCGTTTAATCCATAGCATGTGGCATTTTCTATAATAGTGCTTCCATAGAACATTCTACTCCAGGCACGCGGGAGGCCAGTTATAATGCTTCAGTTTGGGGAAAACACAAAAACAAAACCATTCAACATCCCCAATAGCCATGTTTCCAAAGAAAATGATCTACGGGGACCCCCAAGGTTAAAGTTCCAAATATTACTTTTGCATTTTCTTCATGTGAATTTTAAATGAAGTTGAGAAAAAGTATTAACAATGCATCCAGTATTGATGTCATTAGGGTATATTTTATATTCTGTGAACACCAACCTTCTCTGATGTTTGTATATATTTAAAGTAGCATGTGGTTTACTGCATATCCAATTTCCCATTTGTTTCCGCCTTCCTGGGACTGGACTTGGAAGGCTGTGTCTCACTTGCATACAAATGAGATACCATCATGCTTTCAAAAGTGTCTTCTCTCCCTCTCCCCGCTCCTCCCTCAGTTGGCCTTGTGCTCAGTTAGCCAATCAAAGTCAACATTGCATCTTCCCCTTTGGCCTGGCTTCTCCCTCCTCCTTAGATAGGCCTTGGTGGCCCCACACCTTTCCACAGCCACTGCCACACCTGGCCGGGCAGCCTGCAGTAGCTGCGTCACTCCTCCTCCTCACCTGATGGCTGCAGCTGACCCGGCCGCCTCTGGGCTGTGCTGCCAGGAGCCCTGCAGACAGCTGCAGCAGGCTGAGGGTACCCAGGAGGCTCTGGGTCCATAATGGGCATCTTCTGGCCTGTGTTCCTCTCTCAACAGCGAACACTGAACACACGAGGAAGCGCTGGTTCGGGGTATACGACATTGGACTGGGTTTTTTTTTCTTTCTTTCTTTCTGAACAGTTTTGGTCTTTGACTATCCCTAGCTCAGGGGCAGCCTCTGTGATTTAAAACACACACACACACACACACACACACACACACACACACACACAAAAGGTGGTAGTGATAATAAGGCTTTTTAAGGCAGTAAACCAAGCCACTGTCCTGGTTTGTTTTGCTGTCTCTCTTACCTTCTCACTCTTGCCTCAGGATCAGTTGTCCTTTTGCTCCGTCGTTCAGCAAACAGTAGCGCTGAAGCCGCAGGCCTGGCAGCGACGGGAGCACTGGGTCTGCTGAGGACGCCGGGTGCTCGGGAGACAGTGGGCATCTGCGGAGCCAGGCAGAGCGGTGGTGTCATCTGTGAAGGCTTCACGGGTGCCTGTGTGTTCCGGCTCCGGGAACCAGCCCCTGGGGCTTTGCCCACAGACGTTTTTGTACCATTCGTGAACCTTGTTTCTGAGTGTGGTTTGAGGGTACAAGCCCTGAGATCAAAGTGTCAGGTCTCACAACACATCTGAGCATAAAGGAATCCTAGAGAAAGTCCTCGTAGTCAAGGAAACTGAGGCTAGAGGCCTGAAACTGAGGCCAGAAGTTAGCAGAAGTTAGCAGCAAGGGCTACGGAGCATCCTGGAATAGAAGAAACAAGTAGGTGGTCCATTTCCCAATCCATGAGCCACTTGAAAATGAAAATAGTAGTTAGATTTTTTTTTTTTTTGCTAGACTCGTCTTTCAGGTCATAAACACTTACTACTATGGGTGACTGAGTCCAAAAATAAATATGGGGAGAAAATCCTTTGCGTGCATGAAGCACTTTATATTCTCTGCCTCCTTCTCAATCCTTAATTAAGCCCGGCAGCCACCCCATAAAGCCGGTCATTACCACTGTGTGAGGAGACAGAGTCCCCGGGACTATGCGACTTGCCCAAACATACGGGCCTGACAGGCCGGGCAGGGTGAGACTTCCCAGTTACTGAGGCCCACGCCCCGTGTGCAATCCAGCCTCATCACCCTGGGTCTTGGCACAGGGAATAAATAAACAAACAAACGATGATTGCATTGCTTTTACTTCTGGGGAGCAATGGGTTCTTACTTAACACGGGAACAAGGGGCAAGACAAATAGCATCTAATAGCAAAGCTATTGGGGGACAGTAGTGCCACCATTCAGGGCCTTGGAGTTCTGCCCTTTCCGGAGCTCTGTGTCCACATCGAAGTTTCTCATTACCCAGATTTTATTCAGCAAAGGTGCCGTCTGTCCTGCTGGGCAGCGGGCATTCAGAAGTGGTATCGTGAGGTCTGCTTTGTTGTATTCAGGTTCAATGCCATGTGCTGGAATATATGGAGAGATTGGAAGCTGAGAAGAGGAAATTTACCTTCCCTGGGGGTCAGGGAAGGCCCCACAGATAAAGTGACATTTAAATAGAATCGAAAATGATGAGTAGGAGTTCGCTAGTTGGAAACTAGGGAAAAGAGCATTTGGAAAACTATGGGTAGAGGATTGATAAATTATGACTTCAGAATCCACCCTCATATTCAAATTGTGTTCCCTGTAACCTACAGTGTGACTGAGACAATACGCTCAGCTCTCAACTCTGATGACAAACTATTTCTCTCTGCCCTTTGAGATGTCTCTCGATGAACTTTCCCCCCACCATACGGAAGGCCACAGCCTTGGCAGGATTTCTGAGAGCTCCAAGGTTTGAGAGCATAAGGGGAAGGCACCGGGGCTGTGTTTGACGCCACTCCTGGCAGTGAATTTCTGCTTTTTACTGATTCATTTCAGTTTGTCTGATGTCCTTTACATAGTAGTTATATGTCCATATGTGTGTATACATGTTATTCATACATGTATGTATATATATAAAGTATATGTGAAACACAGGAATGTGTCATGTGTACATGTATGTGTATGTGCATACATAAATACATATATCTAATGTGTATATGATACCCACCTTTTAATTGATTTTTTTTTAAATCTACAGACAGTCCTTGGGTTACGTCAGACTCAACATACATCATTTTGTGGTTATGTCGCCATCTCCCATTTATTTATAAAAAAAAAGTTCCGTCGTATGTACATATTTCGACATATGTACATATGTGCTTTATGTTTTTTATTATTTGTTTACCACAAGTAAAGGTCAGTAATTGTTATCTTCCTTTTAAATTTCTTTTTACTGTTTCACTTCATTACTGCTGTGTATGTGCTCCATGTGAGTGACGTAGGTGCTTACGTAGGTGGGTTCCGACTTACGGAGAAAATCGAGTTACATTGCGCCGTAGGAACGGATCGCAGATGTAACCCGAGGACCTACTGTATTTCACTGAAGATTTTAACAGGATGGGGGAAGAGGAAGGGTAGCGAACAATGGACTTCTTCAACAAAAACAAACTTCATGTGGACCCTTAGCGACCTTGTTTTGGATCCCTTCAGCAGCTGAGCCACCATGTGTCTTCCTCCTTTGTCCTTTTCCTCTCTGCCATCTGTCTTCTCTCTCCCCCTCCCTCTCTCCCCCTGAGATTCCTAGTTATCTCTCTCCTCCCCCTCCCTCTCTCCTCTCCTCCTTCTCCCTACAATCCTGCTCAGCTCCGTTATGGTGCCTGTTGGTCCTTATCACCCATATCTTCAAGGTCATAGGTTATCAGGGAATTTTCCTAAGCCAAGACAGTGCCTTTGCTAAGAGAAATTCTGGTATTACAGTGGTTTCGATTTCCATTTGTCTGTCTGGGACTCGCCATATCTCTGCATATAGGACAGTCCCTGGCCATAAGTGAGCAATCAGTATTATCTGTTATATGAATTAATTCATCAATTACATAGTACTTTTAAAAGGTCTGTCTTAACCTGGTGTCTGACTTTACTAGACTTCTGCCCTGAATGCTAAATAACTCAAGGCTTATAAGACATTTTAATCACAGAGGCCCCGGGGCTGCTGCCCACTGACTGTGATGCCCCCAGCCACTGAAGCCAGGCTGCCTAAACACTGCAAAGGCCACATTCGTTAAACCAAGCGGCCTTGGTCAGGCCTGCATACTGGGCAAGGATGGAGGACACGAACCTGCTGTGGAACAGGGAAAGAGGAGGAAAGGAGCACGAGAGGGGGGAGGACAAAACATCACATCTGTCTTTCAGAAAGAATTCAAGTAGCAATTGTGAAATCTTGGGCATAGGATGTGCATTTCCCAAGTCTCTGCATTATTATACATGTTAAATATTTTGTAGTTGAAAAAAGTTCCCATAATTTTAAAAAGAGAGAAAATCCCATACAAAGATGTCAACTGAAAATGAAATTGCTCCTGCTAATAAAGAGACATTTCAAAGTATGGTGCTCTTCCAAGAAAAGAATTATCTGGGGCCCTCAGCACCCCAAAACAGGAGATGGCTCCCAGTGAACATGATCAGCAGGAGGCAAAAGCCCCAAGCTTGCTCTGGCTGATGTTGCTCAGAGGTTAGAGTGTTGGCCCATGCACCAAAGGGTCACAATTTTCGGTTAAGGCCGTGGACCTGGGTTGCAGGTTCGATCCCCAGTTGGTCAGGGCACATGCAAGAGGCAACCAATCGATGTGTCTCTCTCACATGAATGTTTCTCTCTCTCCCACCCACCTATCCCTTCCTCCCTTCCACTCCCTCCAAAAAGAAAAATCAATAGAAAAAAATACCCTCAAGTGAGGATTAACAAACAACAACAAAAACAAAAACCCTCAGACTTCCTGAGAAATCTTTGTCATTTCAGATCTTTGTCTCTTACCACTGTTATGGCATTAACTTGTTAAAGCCCGGTGGTAAAGTACTATTCCCTGGGCACCTACAATTCTTTAAAACCCTTGCTAAAGTGGTCTTCTCTCCCGCACCTCCCTGTACAGGGGATGTTACAAAGGGCTGTAAAGAATTCTCTCAAACTAGTCCCCTCCCCAAGTCCTTTTCAACACAACATGGAGATAGTATTTCAAAATGAATCATTAAAAAACAATCCCAGTGGCTTCCAGGGCTATGCTAGTAACTTCCTGGGAAGGTGAGAGAGATACACAGACATTCCCACAGCCACTCTGGTTACTAATAAGACTCAGAGAAGCCCCGGACACGAGGTTCTGTCCAAGTTGCCACACACTGTCCTGAACCTCCCTGCCCAGCTTATTTATTTATTTTCTCCCCTTCTAGAACAGCCAGCAACTGATTTCACACCTTTTTGTTTAGCTGCTAAAAGCAACACAATAACTCCCCTCAGGGCTGCCTCTGTGGGTTCCAAAAATAAAATGGACTCATTTTCATGCTAAGCATGTAAGGGCTCATGGGGATTCTAATGAAAAGCAAAGGAAGGGAGAAAAGAGGGGTCAGGCTGGGGCTGTCGCTGAGGGGGGGTCAGCTTCTGTGGAGAGTTACCAGTACCCCCACCTACCCCCACTAGAGGGAAGATGTTAAAAACAAAACCAAAACCAGATAGCTCTTAGGTTACAAATTAATCCAACGCTTAAACTCTCCAGCTTATCTTCTATCCTAAACCCAGGGCCGTCTTGGAACACAGACTGGCGTCCACCAAGAAGCGCAGTCGCCCGCTCAGCCTCCCAGATAAGACGTCTCTTGGTAGGAAATAGGCAGTAACGTGCTTCCAGGTCGGAACGTAAAATCATGGGTCCATGAGCTTCTAGGTTAGCTTTGGAAACTCACAGTCTTCTGAGTCTAAGTCATGAGCAATGGCAGCCTCAAGTCACACAATACTGGCCCCGCTGGCCCGTCTAGCATGCAGGAAGAGATTTCCACGAGGGCTTGCCAGGAGCGTGCGTGCTGCTCACCTGCAATAGGGGGGATCCACGCACGGCCTGCAGCCCCCGGGTGTGCCTGCCGCAATGCGGTGATGCCGCCTGTCCCTTACATTTCCAACCAGGACTTTGCTTACGTAGGAGGCCAGACTGTTGGAGACTCCCTCCATTGATGAGCCAAAACCTGCCTCCCCGTAGCTTCTCCTCGTCGGTTCTAGGTTTGTTCATGGCACGTGCAGCAGAGTCTGTCTTTTCATGAAAAATTTTTAACTATTTGACAATAACTCCGAGCCTCACAGTCCCCTCCGCTGTCAGTGAGGCTTCCCATTTTCTTCTCCTAACACGGTTTCCAGTTCCTTCCCTGGGATGTGATCCAGTTTCCAGCGTGTTCCTCTTACACTCCAGCCCCGCAGTGGTCTGACCCGCACAGAACACAGTGGACAGAACATGCCATTCATGCGGCCTGCACTCACCTGAGCCGTCTCTTTTCGCACGTGTGTTATGCCGCAGAGTCATATTCCTTCCGAAGACCTGTGAAGAAAGGATGTGCTAAGCCAACGGTAAATAGGGTTGCTCAGAAAATCTCAGTTTACTTAAAGGAACACCATTTTTAATTAGTTTAAAACAATTCCTTTACATACAAATACTGGATGTGCAAATTTTAAGTCCAAGTTTTTTTCCTTAAAGCAGATACCCAAAGTGCCTCCATTTGGGAAACCTTGGACAGATTACTCTTTGAGTGTTTGAACATCTTCTAACTGTCTTTCTTTAACATTATTCTGGGATTCGGACTCTCTGTTCAAGGAATCAGAGAATCTTTAGAAATGGAAAGGACAGAGAAAGATTTTCAAATCCAGTCACAGACGTTCGGGAAGATAGCATTACCCCTTTCTCCATGTGTGTTGAGAGTTCATTCACAGAATGCTGTCCACATGCCTACTCTACATTATTCTAGGCTTATGCAGGGGTGAGAAAGATAGTCCCCTTCTTTCATGGAGTTTACATTCCCAAGGGGGAACAGAGAAGCAAAATGTGAAATAATTTCATGGAGTGATAAGTGCTGTGAAGAAAATAACACAGGCCTGTGATAGAGGCGAGGTCAGGAAAGACCAGTCTTAGGAGGGAATATTTGATCTGACTGTTAAGAAAGTTTCAATCACAGCAAAATATCGAAGAAACTTCTTCCAAACTATGGGATCAGCAAATGCAAAGGCCCTGAGGTAGAAATCGACTTGTTGTGTTCTGGAAGGTAAAATTAGGCCAGTACAGCTGAAAAATTAGTAGGAGAACGTGATAGCAGATGAAGTCAAGGAGGAAAGGGGTAGGCAGGGGAGGGATCGCCTGGATCCTCAAAGACTGTGGTGAGGAGTGTGGGTTTGATTCTAAGTGCAGTCAGAAGCTACTGGAGGGTTTTAGGTGGAGGAATGACATGATTTAACTTACAATTAAACCATATGTCTGCTGTGTGCAGAGGTGGGTTGTACAGGCTTTATAAACAGAAGGAGAGGAAGGAGTTAGGAAGCTGTTGTAATGGCCTAGACAAGAGATGGCAGTGGCTTGTGCTGGCATGGTGGCAATGAGGACGGAGGGAAGTGCCCAAGTTCTGGATGTCGTTTGAAAGTAGAACCAATGGGACTTGCTAGGAGAGAGACAATTAGAGTCCAAGGAAACTATAATGATTCGCCTAAAAAGGAAGACGGAGACCAAGAAAAGTTGGGCTCTTAGTAGTGCCATGTACTTTAATCCTAATAGCACTGTGAGGGATATAGTATTTTACTGACATTTTATATATAAGGACCCCGATTTATACATTTTATTTTGAACCCCTAAGAGATGCTTTCCAGATGTTTATGTTGCCATATTCTTATTTGAATGCTTTAAATGACTACATCCAATTGCGCACCTATACCCTTGGGTATTGCTTGTTAACCTTCCTGGAATTCATTTTCTAAAAAATAAAGACATTTTTAGTGAAGATGGGGGATGGGGGGGAGAGGTGGCCTCAGAGAAGTTAAGTAATTTACTCCAAATCAAACATTTGGTCAGATTAAGCTGGGATTTAAACTCGGGACTTGATGCCATATCTCATAGCCTCTTCCCACTATACCACATTGTGTTTTCCCAAGTGTGATGGAGAAGGAACCCTGGGCAGGGTCTCCTGCGATAGGGCTCCTTCTAGGTATCTTTTCTTCCAAGTTATTGCTGCTTGATGCGTTGTTAAACCAATACCATTATTTACTACAGATCCCCCCATGTGTCATTACATTTAACCAAAACTAAGCTGACCCCCCTCCCAGACCCAGTTCCATTCTGCCTGCTTCCCTTGCCCCTCACAACCCGAGCCAGGGTCCGCTCCCTTCTGTGCAGTGTAACCACCAGAGCCATGGGCCCCTGTGCCCGCCTCCCTTCCTGAGGAGCTGTAGCTGGAAATTGCGTGTGCAACCCGATGACAACTTACCTATATTTAGCAGGAAAAAGTAGTGGCGAGGATCTGTCCAACTCAATGTTTGTTACGGCTGCAATGTTCGGAATCTCACAGGCAGTCTCCTGACAGGCACATTGGCCCTGACAGTGTCTGAGCGCAGGAGGCTTCCTGCCTCTCACAGGGCTCTCCACCCACTGAAGCCTCCGTCCAAGAATCCCATGGCCGCCCCTTGGGGAGCAGAGGCTTCGCATGCTCAACACTCCCCCCGCCCCCACTCCCCGCCCTGACGACGTGAGAGCTGCTGGCACTGTGGGCACTTTGATGGCTTTTAAGTGTTATTCTAAGACAGGAAAACAAGCATGAAAGGTTTAAGGGGGAAATGGACTATTACCCAATTGTTTATGTGTTTAAGTGATATGTACGGCGCTTGGTTTTTATATCTTTTCAATGTGGCATGGAAAAGAAATACAAAGTGCTGCTTATGGTGTAAGAACAAAGATAAACTTGCTTGGGGGGTGGGGAGTGACAAATTGCAGCAGGTATTCTCAAGTGCTTACTATGACAAAATCCTTGCCATGGAGGCGGACTATCCCTTCTACTTAAGTGACTAATTCAAGGCTGGGGCATAGTTTAGCTTTTCTGGAGCCAGACCAAACCAGATATAGTATATTGCCCATGACTCTGACCCTCATCACTGCTGGTCAACCAGACAGAATTATCTACTAATGAAAAGCAGAACAATTAAGAAGAGCTCAGAAAAGAGGAAAGTAAAGACCATTAAAGAAAAAATGGGAATCTTTAAGACAGTAACATAACACCAACTGTATCACACAAAAAAGGGAATTTCTGGGGCGGTGGGGGAGGTGGGGAGCACACGAGAGGGATTGTAGCCTGTGAGCACTTATTTAGACTACTCTACTTTTTAACATGCAAGATGTATCAATCCTTAGTCAGCAAAGGGGGAAAAGCTATTGGAAAACATTCCTATTCACTTTAGAAATAGCAATTTCAAAAGGTAGTTTTTTCATACCTTCTTCTAGTCCCTAAACTAATTTGGGGTTAAATATTATTCAGAGGAAAAAATACTTGGTTTAGAAATGGCCTGTCTCCTTTTCACAAAATCTCTTCCAATGAGATGAGTTTTAGTGTCGCCGTGTCTATGCAGGAAAAGAGGAAGAAATAGAAAATCCACTTTTGTACCATTTCACTTCTTGGGACCAAAACTTCCAATACTGTATTCCAGAAGTCAATTAACAGACTATTATTACGAAGAAGAAAAAAGCTTTTATGCAATTTATGGGGAAAATGAAAATACAATTAAAATGTTTAAAAGTCACCCATAACCCTATCATCCTAAGATAGTCACTGTGAACAAGGTTTAAAAACAAAACAAAATTATTTGGCCCATCCCTTGTATAACCCCAACAGGAACATTTTAACTCGGGCTTTCTCTTATTTTTCATTTTGTGAGTTTCCAGCAATTTTCTGTAGATCCATGGGTTGATATCTTTACTGACACCCTAGAAGCCCAAGCAGAGGTGATCTTTCAACATTAAATGTCTAATCCCCTCACAGGAAATACTCTTTTCTTGAGATGAACAAAGAGATGTCTAATTCTTCTTTATATTACTAGTCCTACCACTATCGAGAAACCCGGAAGGCCTTTCTGGTTTTCTGTGTCATAACATGAACCCCACCTGTCAAAGACACAAGAAAAGCTAACATGGTGTTGCTCTCACCTAAGACCTAAACCTTTCAAAGCTGACATTCTCTTCCTCGAGTAATTTTAGGCAGCCTTCTTGTATGTCATGTGGACCACCTGTTAAGTTGAAAGAATCAGTATAATTGCTAAAAGAACTTCTATTTTAACAAAAAGGATTAAAGGTGGAAAAACTACTGGTAAAAGAGATCAGTGAAACAGAGAGAAAACCCGGAAACGTAATCTCGCATATGTGAGAATAGTCTTGAATATCTATATACAGAATATATGTAAAAGCTGTAGTAAACAGCAGTCAACAAGTGGGACTGTGATATTGTTAGCTTATCAGGAAAAAGGGTAAATTTTTTGTCATACCATATAAGAAATCAAGTGCTAGATAAAGGAAATATGGTTTTATTGGTTTCAGAGGAGAGGAATAGAAAGATAGAAACATCAAAGATGAGAGAGAATCATTGATTGGCTGCCTCCTGCATGCCCCATACTGGGTAGCGAGCCCACAACCTGAGCATGTGCCCTGATCGGGAATTAAACAGTGACCTCCTGGTTCATAGATTGATGCTCAACCACTGAGCCACACTCTCTGAGCAGAAATATTATTTTTTAAACTAAAGAATATATATTTTGCTTATTTATCTAATCTAGATGGGTAAAGATCTTCTATGTTTTAAAGCAATGGAAGAAATCACAGTAAAAGGTCAATAAATTAAAATATAGAGAAATACAAAATTTCTATATGTCAAAAATAATCAAACAAAATCAGAGGACAAAACGCAAACTGGTAAGCAGATGTATTTTTTCAAAATTGAGGCACTAAAAGTTAATGGCCTTAATTTATAAAGTGTTATTATAAATCAATGACAAAATAGATGAAGGTCATGAACTGACAGTTTATGTAAGAGAAAATACAAATAGCTAATTATACAGTAACTACTTTTCAGCCTCACCAATGAATACAAAGCTAACGGGGACCTAACAAAATAGCAAAGACTTTTAAATGACATTAATCAATGCAGCCAGAGCTTCAGAAAAACATTCATATTCTGTGTTACACCCTTCCCAGTAATATGTATTAAAATCCTGAAATATGATGCTCTTTGATCCAGTAATTCTACTTTCAGAAGATTATACTAAGGAAATAATTTGAAATGCTAAGATTTATGAACACACACACAAAAAAAAAACATTTAAGTAGTCCCTAAATATCCAATAATAGGAAAATTATAATAAATTATAGTATAGGTATAAAATGGAAAATTATAGTGCTATTAAAATAATATTTAAAGAATTAATAATGGCATGAGAAAATATGTTTGATTGAGTGAACAAAAACATAGTTTGTGAAATTCTTTGTACAGAATGATCCCAGTTATGTGAAGATTTTTAAAAAGCATAGGAAAATATACTGGAACCATTTCTAGATGTTAATGGAGGTTGCATATGACTAATAAGATTTGGTAATGGTTTGTGTACTGTTTTGTTTATTTCTTCAAAATATTTTATTGATTGATTTGAGGGAGTGAGATCGAATTGTTGTTCCACTTATTGATGTACTCATTGGTTGTTTCTTGTATATTCCCTGACTAGGGATGAACCCAAACCTTGGGGTATCGGGAGGATGCTCTAACCAACTGAGCTACTCATCCAGGGCTTGTTGTATCCTTCTTTTAACTTCTTTCTAAATTTCAAATATTCTACCATGTAAATGTATTATTTTTAGAACCTTTTGAAATGAAAGAAAAGTTGATAATTAAAGCAGTTCAGAGTATGCCACCCACAAATATACCACTCTGGTATAAGGCTTATTTTGAGGTGAATGCAATTGAGAGATAGCAGACACAGGACAACCAACATAGATTCCTCCAGGATGGGCAAAATGATTCTTAACCACCAGAGACAACTCTAGACTCTTATCAGCCCAGAAACTGAACTGGAGGAATCTATGCAAATCTTGCTAAAACAATCCTTATCTTCCATTATTTCCCCCCATATATTTACCTTCCCACTTTTGTTGCCCTTGGGAGCCTGGAACAAGTCCCTTCTCTACAAATTTGTTGTTCTTTGCAAAGATGCTATAGAAGCCCAAATTCTGATCATTCCCTTGAGTTACTCATCACTGAGTATTCCATGTATTGTATGCTTCATAAGTTAAGAAACTTGTTGTTTTTTTCCCCTGTGAATCTGTCTTGTGTCAGTCTAATTTGCAGGACCCCAGCACTGAAAGAACCTAAGATGAGTAGAGGAAAAATATTTATCTCCCCTACAAACGGCTACAATAATAAAAAAGAACCAATGGTAGGCATTCCTTTCCTTTAGCAATCTTAGATTGCACTCTACTTGAGGGTAGGAACAATTGGTTACTTGTTAGCCCATTGAAATACCACTAACTGTGCATCAGTTTACTCAAAAGTACAGATTGCTAGGTGATTTGGGCGTGGGCAGCTACTTTCTCTTCTTCTCCTTTCTCAAGGTTTAGTCTTCCCTTCTCTTTCTACCTTTCTCCCCCACTTGGTCAAGCAAAAGCCAGAGAACATGAGCACCACATCTCTTCCCCTCACGAGAGTGGGAAGATAGGATTCTTTTCATCTGTCCTTCCAAGCTGGAGAAGATAAGCCTGACGAGGAGAACACAGGCTTCCTGTAGGATGCAGAGGAATGGTCTCTGGAAGAACCAGGACATGCTCCTCCCGCCCTCACTCTTGTAGACTGCTTCCAGATATTCACAGAACACATTCCCTCAAGGAGTTCGTTTGAGAAATAGACAGAGGGAATGTTTAATGTAAAAAAAAAAAAAAAAGATTTTGGTGTTTCAAATGGTAACTCTTAGGATGACAAACCCCATGACCACTACACAACCAGCAAGGGAGTCAGATCTGAAAATAAAGAAATCGAAAATTCAGTCAGTCATACCTGAAGTTGACTCCGGCAGAGGATGGAAGATGGACAGGCTCAGTTCAAAGCCAAGTTCAAAGTGAAAGGTTTTGTTTGGTTTGTGTCTAGTTAAAATTTAAAGCAAAATGCAGAGTGTACTTTGCCCAACTCATTCACCCTAACAGTTTAAGCACGTTTCTGTTTCTAAGAAAGTAGAGGGCCCAAGTCGAGGATTCATTTCCGCGATGCTACATAGCATCCTTGAATGAAAGGATCTCTGTCCAAGAAGCCTTGATTGCTTTTTAAAAGCCTTTTAAACGTGTTCTTCTTCTTTTAAATCTTGTACTTACATTCTAATTGCAGACAGCATATTTTAACTCAATAGAGAGAAATGTAATTAAAATCCGAGTACCCAGATTTTGAATGTCTGGGAAGAAATACCTTATCAATGACTATACTTCCTTCCGTGTGATTACTATATTATTAATTGTGGCTATTTTTTCCTACATACCTAGAACCCAGGAGCTAGGAAAATCTAGCTTTTTCACCTGATTTTCTTTGGATTCCTTGCTCTCCTTTCTTCCCTCTCTCCACCAAAAGTCTAATTTATTCTAGTCAGACTAAAACACATAATTCAGCAATATGCCACTATCACCCTAAGGTTTCATGTTCTTTCCACTGGAAATAAGTAAAAATAGTACCTTATCCTCAGACTCGGTGGTTAGGAAGAGAAATAAATGGGAAGAGTATAAGCTAACAGCTCTTCTTAAATTGCAGTGTGAGGGCCACAGATATTTGCATTCTTCCACTTGCCCTGAGGCAGCACCCCATGTGCACAGTCATGGTGGCGGCAGCTTGGCCCAGGTGACAAAAACCATTACAGAGAAGCTGTAAGAGGGCCAGGCTGTACTCCTTGGGTTTCACTAGCTTACTTCTTGTGTAGGAGGCAAACGGGTCTGAAGGGCTCTGGACTTGCTAACCAAAATGTTAATGGCTTAGAAACAGCAAGAAATTAGTTAGTGAGATGTTTATCAAGTATGTGAAACAAGAGTTGACTTTCTGTGAAACATCATTCTGGAACCAAAGCCAAATCTGTCTCTTCTATTCAGTTGAGTATGAGAAAAAAAAAGTCATGTCAGAATTAGTAAGGCCAAAAACAAAGAGAGGGGAATGAAAAGAAGCTGATATTAATAGGGAGGGGAGTGGAGTGGGGAAGAATACCTGAGCTTCAACAATTACAAAAAAAGTTGGGATTTTGAGAGGTTAAAAGAAATTGGTTGCACTACTTCTCTCAGAAAGAGAAATGTCTGGAATACCAAAGGGGTATTGAATTTCTCAGGTAGGTCAGTGTTAGGACTAAGGGAGGGTGCAATTAGGAGGTGATGCTAAATGGCCTCCTAAAATTTCAGGTTGAAGTGATTTTTAATGGAGTGTATGTGGTTTATATCTTTGTTTTTTTTTCTTATTATAACAGTAAGAAATAATTAGTCATTTAAAAACACTATCACTACAGAAAACCAATACTACATTAAAAAAAAAAAGGCCCCTATCCATATCCAGTCCCCTAAGGCAGAGAGTATCACTTATTAAAAGTTGGGGATAAAAATTGTTTATATGATTTGTATTATATAATATTTAAAATAAAGTTAGGCTAGATGCAACAACATGATACATATTTACATAGTAATATTAAGTTTAAAAAGTGTATGCATAACAGAATAACCCTTATGCATAGCAATAATCCTATGATTAGAAAAAGACTGAAATAAAATGTGTTAAAATATTTTCAAAGTTTGGGGTATTTTTCATGTTTTTTAGTATAATATATATTTTAAAGCCTGTGTGTTTAATGACTACTTTGCCTTGAAGAGCCCTTGATAAGGGCTCTCAGTCTCCAACTTCATGGCCATGGGGAGAAGGAAGAATATTTGAAGATCATTGGTAAATGATGTTTTGAAACTCTTTGCAGCATATGAAATTGAATTTCAGTCTTATTTAAAGGAAAGTTCCCCTGGTTTGTTTTTTTTTTTTTTAAAAAAAAGGTCTTTATATCTGCTTCTCGGGCAAGAGAAGGATAGAAGAAACTGCATACAAGACTTGGGTTGGGCAATTGATTTTAATCGTGGTTTCTCTTAATTACTCAGCAATTTCAGGAAATTACCCACTTGCACACCATCGTTTTCCCTTGTGTAAAATGGGAAGGGTGATAGAAAATCTGAACCTAGGGACTTGGTCTCCAAGCACTGCTACCCCCGGTACCTGCCTTTTGACAAATACTCAACTCTGCCTGGCTGGGGTCACACATTCTGCCAGCTCACAGGAGCCAGGAGGCTTAATTACCTGTAGTTTCAGAGACCTCTGAACTCTCTTAGGAAGGGGGCTATCTAAGTTCAATGTCGTATTATCCCATTCCTGAGGCATTCATTTTGCAGAGATAAGAGAGGAAGAGTACAGAGATTGGGCTGTGCTCCAAAGGAAGCTTAGAGGAAGGTTTTCTATATAGTATGGGTTGAGGAAATGCTTCGTGGTTTGAGAAAAAGCACAGTTTATTTCCACACAAATAATATGCTTCTCAGAAAGAAAATATTGAGATTACATATTAATTTAAGGTCATCAGAGCTTAAACTGGCTGTGTCTACCTTCTCTTTCCTTTACTAGAAGGTGCTCCCATGACTGTCTCCTACCTGTACAAACCTGTGTGACGTGCAGTCTAGCCGCTGTCATTTCACAGGTGCTGCCGGGTATAACCTTGTCTGTGAGGTCTCCAATCCCAGGGCCCGCACCATGTTGTGACAACGTGTTCACAAAACCGAGGGCAACGTGTTGGAAGGCTGCCAGCTTTCTTTAAGAAGTGTTGCTCTTAATTCTAAGAGTGTGTCCTTCCTGCTTTGGGGGTGTTAAAATGTTACTTTCTTTTCTGAATGAATGGCAATTGAAGATGGTCGTTGTATTTTTTTTAGCCTCCTTATTGGATCAGATTTAGACTTGGCAGCATGTTATTGATCTTCCCACAATTTCCTTTTCTTTTACATTTTACTGATCTGCAAAATCGAAACTTGGAAAAACATAAGTCTGTGGTTAATTCTGTCTATATAGTAATAGGAAGAATGCAGATGATCACCATTTTTAACCCAAAATATCAAGCTACTAAAACATGTGCCTCAGCTCATGATAAGTAGGACAGCCAGTGTGCTGGAATTGTATTTCTCTCTCCACCCTCTAATAGGGTTCCTAAAATTAAGCCACTGAAAAAAAGTAGGAAGCAGGGAGGGGAAATAATCTGGATGATACATAAACTGGCTAGTTAATGGACCCAATGCTGATTAGTAATGAATAAAATAGGCCCCATGCAATATTTGGACTATGCTTACACTAAACTTATTCATTATTTGTTTTGTTTTATTGTTGACAGTATTACAGATGTCCCCCATTTTCATTGTTTATTTTAAATTCAAATTTAACTGAATATTCTGCATTTCATCTGGCAACCGCACACCCAAGAGTGTCTGACCCTTTAGAAAATATATAGGCAATAAAACATGAATTAAAGTAGCCCCTAAATACAAATGACTATTAATAGAACACACATAAATGCCTATTAATGAAATATTCCTTTGGTTCCTTTATGTTGTCTAGTTTTCCCTTCTAAATATGAACTATTTGAATGATTGAGTTCTTACAAGAGCATAATATGAAATCCAGAGAACAGTAAAAAAGTTAACTTGCCCCACTTGGCTTACCTTGTAAATGATCTGATAACCTGTGTTTACAGCAGGGTCTGCCAAGTCACCTCAGCTGCCCACCCCTGAGCTGGCGGCTCAGGTGCTGCAGAGTAATTCCCTTCAGCCCACTCTGATGTTTTAGGATTGGAAAGTCTGTGGGTGGGAAGCAAGGAGGAAAGCCAGGTCCTCTGAGGAGGCCTCAGAGGCACTCAGCGTGCAATCAGCACACTTGTTCTTTGTTTCTCATTTTCCCCTGTGACGCTAAAAGGAATGCAAAGTTGAGAACGCTGCATTTTTTCACCATGCTACCTGGCAAATGCTTGAAACAAAAGTAATCATAAAACTGTCAAGTAATGCTAGTAACCTCTCTGGTCCTATTTGCAAGGAAATCGCATTTCCATCTATAAGGGAAATGAATGGATACGAGCTGGGGATCGGCAGGGAAGTCGGAATGGGGGTCAGGTACTTGGTGTGCATTTCATTGAAATGAGTGTGAATGAGGGTGGTGCTTTGTTTTTTCCTCCGTCCACCTCCAGGTTGTTGTGAGGGGGGTAAGCACGGTGAACAGTGCTCATATATTCAAATAAAAGGAGAGTGGCAATCAAAATGTATAATCAGAGCCAACATCATGGTCAGTCCCTAGCTGGGCTGCTTAGGATTGTGAAAGGAAAGCTGGGTCAGAAGGTCTCGCCCTGGCTCCAACGCCATCCACCAGGGTGACTCTGGGTGAGTTGTGTTGTCCTTGGACGTCAGAGTGCCCCCTTCTCCCATGAGGAGACTGCACAGGCTAGCACCTCTTCTCCCTTTTGCCCTGCTCTAAGGAGGCACAGAGGAGAGAAGGGATTCCCGAGTTACAGGTCTGCAAACAGGACTCACCCACTTACCTTTGAAGGTTCAGAGGTTATAGAATTTAGGTAACAAAGACACAGTCCTTGTCTCATGCTCTGACCTTCGCATGTAGACATGCAGTCATTTTTTATGCCTTCCCCTGCCCACCCGCCTTGTCATAGGAACTTGGACAGTTTCTTGGTCCTCCTGGGAATCCCCTGAGCTCTGTCACCAACAGTCCCTTTTGAATCTTATAGGCACAGGTCATTGTCATCTTTTTCAAAGCTGTTCTTCCGGCTGGATGAAAAATAAGCAGGGTTCCCCCATCGTAAGTATTGATATGGGTACACGAAGACGGCACATCTCTTTTTGTTTCTAAATCATACTCTGGCCTGCCAGCATGGCTCCGTGGTTGAGCATCGACCTATGAACTAGGAGGTCACAGTTTGGTTCCTGATCAGGGCACATGCCTGGGTTGCAGGCTTGATCCCCAGTGTGGGGTGTGCAGGAGGCAGCCTATCAATGATTCTCTCTCATCGTTGATGTTTCTATCTCCCTCTCCCTCTGTCTTCCTCTCTGAGATCAATAAAAATATACTTAAATCATACTCTGGATGCCCAGGGTTTCTTTGCCATGCACTTTCCAGGCCTCCTCCCTCTGGGCTCATTCCAGCCAGACTCCGTATGAAACACTGCCCCTTTGGTCAGCATTTTCAAATTGACCTTAGATGGGAAAACATATACTTCTCAAGGTAGTCAGTGTGTACACCCTAGTTCTGTCCTCTGTAACTATGTGGACCACATGGTGGAAAAGATCAAAGATTTCTCTGGGGCCCTGTCCACTCTGAGTCCCGGAGCTCATGATTGCATCGCTCAGCATTTCCTCCTGCTTACAAAGATGGCTGTCCTTTCCCAGAACTAAATCCCATAGCAAAATCATGAGCCTTCATCTTCCATGTTACCTTTCTTACTCAGAAGCATTGACTAGCAGGCCCTTTTTTCCCTTGGGTTTGTGCCAACACCAGAGAAGTTAAACTTGGTACCCCATCTTGCCTTCCAGGAGCTTTTGTGTTGTTCTCGTTCGTGGGATATGTTGTCAATTTATACAGATGTTTCTATGGCCCCTGCACCACCCCAACCCCAGTTATTCCTTATCCCCATTCTTTGTCCTGTGAACCCTTGCTGGCCTTCCCAAGATGGAAAATTACTAGATGGCCTCTACCTCTGTGTGGCCCACACCTAGTACATTGTTGGCCTTTGCCCAAATTATGCCACCCCACTTGGGATCGCCTGACACCATGTGATCAGTCTCATGCCTGGCAGCATCCCATCTGCCTACCCAGTGCACTCTGGCTCCATTGCAGCCTCTTCCAGCAGTTGCTCATTATCTCCTCGTCATTGTCTCATATCTTGTCAGTCTTATCCAACATCAACCCTTTTATTCCTTCACCAAGGTCATTGGAGGATCACTATGTGCCAAGGAAAGGGCTCTGCCAGAGTGAATTAAAAATGCAGTACTTGTCCTCTAGGAGCTTAGACTCTAGGGAGGGAGACAGACAATAAAGAAAGAGACCATAAATCATTACACACGTTGACAAGAGCAATGAAGGAAACCAACAAGCTCCATGAGAGAGAGTGGCAGTCAGAGTCGATTTGAGATAACATGGTCTGCAGAGGTGACATTTAGGCTTAGACCTAAAGAATGAGGAAGGCCAGCCATGCAAGGAGAAAGGTTGGAAATGCAGGAAAGAGCCTGGTATGTTTGAGAAATTCAGAAGGCCTCTTTGAACCCTCCCCACTTTTCCAGTCCCTTCTTACACAGAGATGTTGCTGACTTCGCCCACGCATACTGAGTAATCCACCTCCTCAGCTGCCGTAGGTCATTCTCTTGGTTCCCTTGTTTGACACTTGGTTGCATATTGTCTTTTATTATTCAGCCATGTCATAGTTCTTTACAGAGCTTGAGTTCCATATTTAATCTCTCCAAGAGTATCAACAGCTTCTCTTTATATAGAAGGTGCTAAAGAAACCCTTGAATTCTGTTCAGTTCAATAACCATTAATCAAATTTCTGGGCTGTTCCAGGTGGTACATGCTAGGTATTTAGCTCAATGCTGGTGTTTAAAAATAAACCCCAGTATCATCATGAGGAAAACATAAAACAAACCCAAACTGAGAGACATTTTGACAACATATGTGACCAGTATG